GTTCCTGGTCCCAGTAGAGTGCCAGTCACCCCATAGCAATGCTGTGGGGCTGGGTTGGGGACACTGCTATCCACATGTGTTCCTGGTCTCAGTAGGGTGACAGTCACCCCATAGGGATGCTGTGGGGCTGGGCTGGGGACACTGCTGTCCACACGTGTCCCTGATCTCAGTAGGGTGACAATCACCCCATAAGGATGCTGTGGGGCTGGGCTGGGGGCATTACTGTTCTCCTATGTGTTCCTGGTCCCAGTAGGGTGACAGTCACCCCATAGGGGTTCTGTGGGGCTGGGTTGGGGACACCACTGTCCACATGTGTCCCTGGTACCTGCAGGGTGACAGTCACCCCATAGGGATGCTGTGGGGCTGGGCTGGGGACACTGCTGTCCACATGTGTTCCTGATCTCAGTAGGGTGATGGTCACCCCATAAGGATGCTGTGGGGCTGGGCTGGGGGCATTACTGTTCTCCTATGTGTTCCTGGTCCCAGTAGAGTGCCAGTCACCCCATAGGGATGCTGTGGGGCTGGGTTGGGGACACTGCTCTGACCCCCAGGTGCAGCCCATCCAGCCGGCCCCAGCGCTGTCCCAGCCAGCCGTGGTCATCACCAGCCCAGCCCCAGCAGCCAAGGCGACCCCGGCCCCCATCCCCATCACCTGCTCAGAGACCCCCACCGTCAGCCAGCTGGTGTCCAGTGAGTCGCTCCACTCCCATGTGGTGCTGAGGGGCGGATGGGGGGGTGGGGGGTGTTTCCCCTTTGGGGTGGGGAGGTGCGGTGGGATCCGTCGCCGCTCACGCCGTGTGTCCACCTGCAGAGCCCGCAGCGCCCAACAGCAGCGCCGAGGAGGACGGCATCAACCTGGAGGAGATCAGGGAATTCGCCAAGAACTTCAAGATCCGGCGTCTGTCCCTGGGGCTGACGCAGACGCAGGTGGGGCAGGCGCTGACGGCCACCGAGGGACCGGCGTACAGCCAGTCTGCCATCTGCAGGTGCGGCGTGGGGATGGGGCAGCCCCTACAGCCTCCCCGTGTGGGTCCTGAAAGGTCGTAGAGCCATGGGGTGGTTGTGTTGGAAGGGTCCTGAAAGGTCGTAGAGCCATGGGGTGGTTGGGTTGGAAGGGTCCTGAAAGGTCGTAGAGCCATGGGGTGGTTGG